TTCGTCTTCCTCCACCGTGATCCCAAGCTCGTCTACGCCACCACCAACAAGTGGCCTTTTGCCCACTCCACCGGTGGATCCTAAATTAAAGGCAGTGTCCTACGGCATGCCGCTTAACTCCACTGGGTCTATGCCGCCACGCCATTATAACCAACATACAATAGGTCCTCCTCCAGTGACTCCTCAGGCTCTAAACCTACCACCCGCTCCACATGATCAGTACCCTCATCCTCCTCGCCAGTTTGACAACGAGATCATCCGCCACATCAAACCTATCGCTCCTACTTTTGATGGTCGTGGGGATCCTACGATGTTTCTTGATTGGATCCAAGGCCTGGAAGATTATTTTGCTTGGTATGATTTGACGGATGCTTATAAACTACGCATTGGTAAGATGTCATTACAGGGAGCCGCTAGACAATATTGGAATTCCGTGGAGGAGCAACTATACCAACTGGGACAACAGCCTGTGATTCTTTGGGACGAGATGAAATTCAAGCTTCGCAAACAATATCTTCCTACATTTTATCGCCATCAATTGTATGATCAGTTATGGACCCTTTCACAAGGAAGTTTTACCGTTACAGAATTCCACGCTCGTTTTATTGAACACAAAATACGTGCGGGGCTTCGTGAAGAACCCGACATCACCATGTCTCGTTTTATTCATGGTCTTCGTGACGATATCAAGCGTGAAGTCCGTCGGTTCCGTCCGTACACTTTGGAAGATGCATATTGCCATGCATTGGAAGCTGAAATCTTTTTACGCCCACAACGTAGGTACACCGGGACTCCCGGGTATCCTTCCACTTCTGCTCCAAACCGCAGTAATCCAAGCTCCAAATATGGCATCACTGGTCCACCTGTTCCCACGGTACCTGCCATAGAGAAGGGATCAGCTCCAGCCACGGCTACTCACCTCGAATGCTATCGTTGCCATGCTAAGGGCCACATAGCATCCCGTTGCCCCCACAGAACTTTAAATATTAGCTCCAACATTGAGGACCCTCGGGTGGATGAGTATGTGGAGCCCCTTGAACCTATTTATGATCCCGACCTTGATAATTGTTGTGAGGAAGAAGCATTGCAACAACTAAGTGTTATGCGTTGCATTTATTCAGCATCTACACCTCCACCTCCTGATTCATGGAAACGCACAAGTATCTTCTAGACTTATGTCCCTTGTGGTACCACTCGATGCCAGCTAGTTATTGATGGGGGAAGTACGCTGAATGTGATTTCGAAAGCTGCCGTCGATCGTCTTCACCTTCAGGCCGAACCACATCCCCATCCTTTTCAAGTCGGCTGGGTAGATAAAACTAGGTTACCTGTTACTGAAAGATGTCTTGTTCCTCTGCAATTGGGTCCCTGTCACGAGAAACTTTATTGTGATATCCTACCTATGAGTGTTGCACATGTGCTACTAGGCCGGCCTTGGCTTTATGACCGTAACGTCAAAAGTTGCGGCCGAGAGAACACCTATACTTTCCAACATGAAGGGAAAAACATAACCCTCAAGCCTTCCAATCCAGCCATCAAACCTATTAAGGAGGTTCAACCGACACTGCCCTTAAACGGAAAGGCTTCGGAGCATCGTTTAAGTATCTTATCACCTGTAGATTTTACACAGGAAATAAAAGACACGGGGGTGGTATTTGCTCTCTTGCTTAAACCGGTTTCGGAATGTACTCCCACTCCATTGGCCGAACCCATACGGCAGCTACTCACGGAATTCTCTGATGTTATACCTGAGGACTTACCAGATGAACTACCTCCAGCACGAGAGATTCAGCATGCCATCGACCTTGTTCCTGGTTCACAACTTCCTAACCTTCCCCATTATCGTATGAACCCACCTGAGCGAGCGGAATTAAATCGACAAATCCAGGGGTTGCTGGCTAAGGGTTTTATTCGTCATAGTTTAAGTCCTTGTGCTGTTCCAGTTCTCCTTACACCAAAAAAAGATGGCTCCTGGCGAATGTGTGTGGATAGTCGTGCCATAAATAAAATTACGGTTAAGTATCGTTTCCCAATACCGCGACTTGAGGATATGTTGGATGATTTGGCTGGTTCCCAATGGTTTTCTAAGATAGATCTTCGCAGTGGTTACCATCAAATCCGAATTCGTGAAGGAGATGAGTGGAAAACCGCGTTTAAAACCCCTGATGGTTTATATGAATGGCTTGTTATGCCCTTTGGCATGTCCAATGCACCTAGCACGTTTATGAGGGTAATGACTCATGTGTTACGGCCCTATATTGGCAAATTTCTGGTGGTTTATTTTGATGACATCCTTGTATACAGCCACTCTAGAGAAGAACATCTTCAACATCTTCATTCAGTATTCTTTACATTACGAGCGGAGAAACTGTATGCTAACTTACCCAAATGTTCGTTTCTTCAACCGCAAGTTCTATTTTTGGGGTTCAATATTTCTGCAGCTGGGGTTAGCACCGATCCCACTAAAGTGGAGGCCATTACCCGTTGGCCAACACCTACGACATTAACAGAGGCACGCAGCTTTCATGGTCTCGCCTCTTTTTATCGCCGATTTATTCCCGGGTTCAGTACTATTATGGCACCAATAACTGATTGTATGAAACAAGGAGTGTTTCTTTGGACCCCTGCAGCTACCACGGCCTTTACAATTTTGAAGCAAAAGATGAGTCAAGCACCTGTTCTTCGACATCCTGATTTGACTAAAGTCTTTGAAGTGGCATGCGACGCTTCCGGAGTCGGAATTGGTGGCGTGCTTAGCCAAGAAGGACATCCAGTAGCCTACTTTAGTGAGAAACTTAATGCAGCAAAGCAACGTTATTCTACTTATGACAAGGAGTTTTATGCTGTGGTACAGGCCCTGCGGTATTGGCAATATTACCTATTGCCCAACGAATTTGTGCTATATTCCGATCATCAAGCTTTGAAATATCTCCACTCTCAACGCACCATTAGCAGTCGACATGTCAAGTGGTCCGAATATTTACAGATTTTTACGTTTGTTTTACGACACCGTCCAGGCATTGACAATAAGGCAGCTGATGCCCTTAGTCGTGTGGCTACTATTTTGCACACAATGACAGTTGAGGTCACTGGGTTTGATCGTATTAAGGCCGAATATTCGTCGTGTCCAGATTTTGGAATTATTTTCCATGAAGTTTCCAACGGTAACCGTCATGAGTATGTGGACTTTATCACACGGGATGGGTTCTTGTTTCGGAAAACCCAATTATGCATTCCTCGTACTTCTCTTCGTGAATTCCTTATTTGGGAACTACATGGTGGTGGTTTGGCTGGACATTTTGGTAAAGATAAAACCATTGCCTTGGTGGAAGATCGTTTCTATTGGCCGTCGTTAAAACGTGATGTTGCTCGGCTTCTCTCACAATGCCGCACATGTCAACTAGCTAAATCTTGCAAACGTAATACAGGTCTGTATACCCCTCTACCAATCCCTCATGCTCCTTGGAAGGATATTAGTATGGATTTTGTGCTCGGTTTACCTAAGACTAGTCGCGGCCATGACTCTATCTTTGTCGTAGTTGATCGCTTTTCTAAAATGGCGCATTTTCTACCTTGTGCCAAAAATACCGATGCTTCTCATGTGGCCAAATTATTTTTTAAGGACGTAGTTCGTTTGCATGGCCTCCCTGTCTCTATTGTTTCTGATCGTGATGTCAAATTTGTTAGTTATTTTTGGAAAACTTTGTGGAAGCTTTTCGGGACAACTTTGAAGTTTTCTTCCGCTTTCCACCCCCAAACGGATGGACAAACGGAGGTGGTTAATCGCAGTCTTGGGAATTTACTTCGCTGTTTAGTTGGGGACAAGCCTGGTAATTGGGATCTCTTGTTGCCTGTGGCTGAGTTTGCTTATAACAATTCAGTTAATCGAAGCACCGGTAAAAGTCCTTTTGAGGTTGTTCACGGGTTTTCTCCCCGATCACCTATGGATCTAGTTGCTCTTCCTATGGCTACCCGCGCCTCCGACTCTGCTACGTCATTTGCTGAACATATTAGACAGCTGCATGATGACGTCCGTCGGCAAATAGCCATGCACACCGACAGTTATCAACTGGCAGCTAATGCTCATCGTCGTCACCAGGAGTTTCAGCAGGGGGATTTTGTTATGGTGCGGATCTGTCCTGAGCGTTTTCCTAAGCAATCTTTTAAAAAGCTTCATGCTCGTTCGATGGGTCCTTATCGTGTCCTTAGGAAGCTTGGGTCCAATGCTTATTTGATTGAGTTACCTGACACGATGCAGATCAGTCCCATTTTTAATGTTTCTGATTTATCTCCTTATCGGGGAACCTTTTCTCCACCTCTGTCGATGGATGTTACTCAGAGTTCCATTCCTCCTATGGCACCACGACTTCCGTCCACTATTTCTGCCCCTACAGAGCAGATTGCTGATGTTTTGGATCATGAAGTTGTGACCTCGTCTACTGGAGGATTGACCCGTTATCTGGTTCGTTGGGTGGGAAAACCTGCTACTGAGGATACTTGGATTACAGAAGATGAATTTCGCGAGTTGGATTCCAGTCTTTTGCACCATTATCAAGATGCTCTTAAGGATCTTGATTTGGCAGCATCCCGTCCTCCTATCATCCATACTTACAAACGTCGTCGTTGTCCTTAATATTCGTTTACTCGCCTGTGTCGAGTTCTTTTCAGTAGGGGAGAATGATGCAGAATGCATCTCCTAATTCTATTTGGATTAGCTTTCCTTTTATTAGTTTTCCTATTTTAGTTAAGAATTCCCTGTTGCTAAAGGAGTTCTTATTAGTTAAATTACTTTCCTAATTTAACAAAGTTTGTCTCTATAAATAGAGCAGTTTGTAATCTTTTAATTAATTTTGATGAATGAAAAAATCTCCTTACTAGAACTTCCTGATTTCTTTCCCTTTCCTTTCGTCTTTTCGATCCCTACTCGTCTCCTCGATCTTTTACTTCCTCTCGGTCCCATCACACCCTTGTTCACCCTAATACTACCGCAGTTCTACGTCACAAGCATTGCATTTCTTATACATAATACTTGAATGAATAACCATTACAAAATTGTTTCTGCACAATGTTATAGTATTCATCGTATTTAGAGTAATTTGTTGGATATATTAGTCACTATTATCGCAAAAGGTAAAAAGTTATTTACTGGGTAAATATTACAACTAGGTTAAGAAAAGAATCCGAAAGATTGGCTCATTACGGGAATGAGGGTGCTCTGATTTCGTTGTTGATCCCCTTTACCTATGAGTGCTGTGATCTTCCAAACTTGTGCATGAGGTCATACCTTTTCTTGCACCAATTTAAGAGGGATTTGTATCATATGTTTGTTTCTGGTGTAACTATCTCTTCGTAAACACTGTCCAGCTCTCGGAATTAAAATTGTCAGTTTCATATTCTCTAGATATCTGAATTGTTGTATGATAATAATTGGATCTGGTTGACCACATGAATGTTCTTAACGCATTGGTAAAGAAAATTTCAGCGTTTGATGTTTATGTCCATTTGTATTAGTTTTACCCTTCCTTTTTTCGTTTGTGATAGAGTTCCCGGTTACTTTGTTTTCTTTTGACCTTTTTTGTATGTCAATATAAAGCTAGGAAAAGTTGAAATAATTATCAAAACATCTACAAAAAATTAAAGGAAATAAGTGGAAATGCTTCTGAAACCATAACCGGCTGATAAAACAAGCAACTGAGGACATGGTCAGGGATTTAACCCAGGTTGTTCCCTTGGAAAGCAAATGTACCACAGAGCTGTGCTCACAGCCTCACAGGGACATACTTCTGAAATCATTCTACAATGATTGCACAATCTCATTAAGCTATGGGATTGTTGTATCCAATAACCTCTCTCTCTCTCTCTCTCTCTCTCTCTCTCTCTCTCTCACACACACACACACACACACACACACACACAAAACAACATGAAGAATTCATAAGGTTTAAAAGACTGACTCGAAGGGTATCAGGTTCTTCCTGCGGATGTTTGTATCCTTGTAGCAACAAATCAATCTCCCCTAATAGCTGGAGTTCAAGCTATTGTAGTTAAACTAGGTATATATCTGGATATGTCAACAGATAATTGCAAGAATTTTTCAAATCAATGGTCATTTCCTGAATTCCAAGTTTTGGTAAATATTATATTATAAAATTGTTGACTCTGAGAATGATATATACAACCAGGAGAATAACTTGCAAGATGCGGTTCTACATGGCACTATGGCTTGCTCAATTTGATAGTTTAAAATGACTATTCGTTACTGTGAATTTGTAAGTGAGAATTGGAACGGGTTTCCCAAGATGAAATATGGTATTATTTTTGTCATTTGTATACTGATATTACTGTAAAAAGACAAATGTTTGTTAACAATTTTTGTTAAGAGATACTACTATCAAAATTTTGAGATGCTCTCCATGTATAGTGTGTTATTTTTTGGTCCAGATTTTGCAATTGCTTTTGAAATAGAAGTTTGGACAAATAAATAACTTAGCTGAAGTATATCTCTCTGTTTTTCTGAGCTTCGGATTTTGTCATTGTTTCTCCATGATAAACATATGAAACAAAAGATTGCCCTATTCATGCTGCAGACGGGCTCATTTGGAAAACTGTCCAGGTGGTATAGTTTATTACTCTTGAAACAAAAGCCCTGAGAGCAGACTGAAATGGATAGAGCTGTTACACAACGTACCTCAAATGTTATGCTGAGAAATCGCAGTGCTTGGTCTCATGTGGAATGTCTGGAAGAATTGTTCGGGGATATTCTGTCAAGGCTTCTTGTTCATTGCCTCTTAAGTTCCAAGTTTGTTTCTAGACATTGGCGTGGACTGATTCACAGAGCACAATTCGCTGAATTGCATTTTAGCCGATCAGCAGAAGATGTGCTCTATATAGTTTATTCTTGTACGGATGCTGTGAAAACTTTGCATTTGATTGATAGTAATGGGGTAATCACCGAAGTAATAACTCTTCCTCATTCTGAAAATCTGTCATCTCTTAGAATGTTTTGTTCCTATAATGGGTTGACATGTTTCACCAACTATCCTTGGTATATTCACTCGAGAAGGATTCAATGCAATCCTGCTACTCATGAAACTAGGGCACTTACAATAGGTAGCCCATCAGAAGCGGAACTAGGCATGGGGGTTGCCTTTGGCCAAGGAGTCAGTAAGTACAAAGTATTTCACTTTTTCTCCTCCAACTTCGACGACGACGACAAAGAACTCAACCCTGAGTGTGAGATATTTTCATCAAGCACTGGAGCCTGGAGAGGCATAGGTCGTGTTCAGCAAAGTCCTCTTGGTGCACATCACATATTTTGTAATGGAAAAGTTTACTGGTTTATGGCTGAAAAGGAAGACCGCGAAACCGTTGAAGTCGTTCTTTCAGTGGATATGGAGGGGAATTTTAAAACCATCGAACTTCCAGATGATGCAACTGACTGGTCCTACCTAATTGATCTTGATGGTTGCTTATCATTCGATGTTGTAAACTGCGATGATCGTCTGTATATGAAGGTATGGATTTTAAAGGATGAAAATGAGTGTTTGGGAGTTGAAGTGCTGGGATTATACTCCATTCGCAGATGATTATGAGTTGCTCAACTCTGTAGCTGCTAGAAAAAATGAATTGTTTTCATGACTACAATTTATTGTTACATTCTTAACACCGACAAGACTACCTGGAAGCGAATTTATTTTGCTGAGTTCGTTGAACGGGATTTTTTTTATTGTCTTTCCATACAAGAAAAGCCTTCTCCCTTGTAAGTACTCTAACTGCTTTCAATTTATATGTTTTTGGAATAGTTATTCATTGATTTTTGTGTCTCTTCTGCTTTAAATTAGTGGGTGTTTATCGGAAAGTATTTTGAATTGCAATATTTACCCAGTAGAATCCTATCTTGAATTGAACCAACTATTTACTTGTAGTGCAACCATTTTGATAACTTGGGATTGGCTTAAACCAAGCAGTTTTTGATATCTATTACTTATGAACTTTTCTTAAACAGGTAACTGATTCTACATTCATCAAGAGGGGATGGAAATATAGCGAGAAGCATGATGCTCGCTCTGGTGGGTTTCTTTTCAGCTTGAAAACATTTCTGGTGGGACTCTTATTCTCCAGTTTTAAAAGTTTATTTTACTTTGGTTATTTTAGTTTCCCTGCTCTGTACTCGAGGAGTAACAGTTGTTTATGTATTTCTTTTGTTGCATATCCTGGATATGTTGAGCGTTTTAACATTATCCCGTATGAACTCGTAGAGTAACAGTTGTTTATGTATTTCTTTTGTTGCATATCCTGGATGTGTTGAGTGTTTTAACATTATTGTCTTACCCTTATAATTCTACCTTGTGTTTGATTGCTGTCTTCCCATTGCATTTTGCATTACCAACAAGCTTTTTTTTTGTGGGGAAGCTCTGTGAGATGTTGTCTTCATTGGTTTCACAACATAGTTTTACATGAGCCATAGGCTGTTCTTCAAGAATCTTTTCCACAATTATAATAGTATACATCATTCTAGCACTGACTACTAGTAATTCAAGTTCACTTGTTTCTCTATGATCCCGTGAACTTCATGGAAAACTGACTCTTCTTTTACACATCGATGCTTCTTGCCTGTAGTAGTTTGAGGTTTCCAGTCCGTTGTACCAAATTTCCATCTCCTTTGTTGCATTGTCTAAAAGCTCACCCTCCTCTTCTTGTTTTCGCATCAACAATCTCATTGAACATCTGAATGCACTTCTAACATGTTTCCTTTTGATCACATTCAAAGCGTATATCGAACGGAGCTCGGTTTAGGAGAAAGAGGCGAACTCTGGGCGTTTTCTTCTTGATCTTATTGCTCTTTTATTTGATCTGCCTTCCAACAGCTCCTCACCTTTCCACTCTCAATTTATCTTTCATTTGGCCAAATCTTATTCTTTCTCTCTTATCTCTCTGCCTTAATGATTTGATCTCATTAGATAAAGGTTCCGCACGTCCCATTTCTCCTCTTGCACACTCTTGTTTATTATTGTCCGTTGATTTCTCCATTAGCTTGTCTATCAAAAGGCTACAAACAAGGTGTGCAGGGGGAGAAGCATGGTGTGCGCAAATTACTGCGCTAGAAAAAATCATTAAAATGTTCAATGTTAGTCAAAACTAGGGAACATTTATCGAGTAGCATTCGACATTAGCTAGTGTTGTTGGAGATGCGCTATGATATTTGGAGGGACTACTTTGTTTCTTGGTGCTTGATTATTGGCAACTTCTTGAATGTTGTCTTCGAGAACCTTCAGTCTCGTTGCAGCCAGTTCTGCTGTTATCCGAAGATGGATTCCTCTAGTATTGATTGCAGGAAACTCTTATTTGCTCACGGCCTAAATAGATAGGGTTAGTCAAGTGAGCAAATAGGGGTTCAAATTGGTACGTTATCATGGCAATTTCCAAATAAATTATAAATCAATACATGTTTGACCTATATATGTATCTTTTCTTAAAACAAATGTATTATTGGAAGAAAGTTTAGATTTAGTCAAGTTGGCTAGAGCAGTGCGATCCACTTTATGCATTCAAGTTTGAATCTCTTTGCATTTAGTTGACATAAATTTAGTGAAATTATCATATTGTTTGTAAATAAAAAACGTTGTGTATTGTTGAAAAAACTATCCGACTAAAATTTAAAGAAAGATTAAATTCTTGGAGATGGCGCTTTACGTAGTGTCGGAATGTAAGTATGTTTATGCACCTTGTTACGGATTTTATCTTCATTGATTCTCCTCCTCACTAACAGCTAATTACTAAAAACAAAATTCTCAAATGCAAAATTAGGAAAAAACTAGAAATATATTTGTTTTTATTGCTTTTTATGTAAATTTATTTTGTTTGTTAGTTACTTTTGCCAAGTAAAGGGAAAAAGAAATTCTCTCCAGATCTCTCCCACCAAATTTTAAAAATCTGGATCCTTAAAATTTGATCAAACGGTTACAAATAGGTGTCCCTCTAAAAGTTATAATAATTGCAGTCGTTTGATCAAATTTCAAGGGTTCGGATTTTCGGATCCCTAAGATTTGGTGGAAGAGATTCGAAAATAATCTCTTCCCATACTATTTGACTAATCCTGGCGTGCAAGAATAATCCCAACACGTGGCGGTGTTCCATTGGATTAGTCCTCGAAGGAATCCCTAATTAAGTCGGTAATCGCTCTATAAAAACACGACTGCCCCGGTCCTCATACGCTGCATCGTTGAGAATTCAGAGAAAAATCGGACGCACGCCAATTCCTTCAACCTCTTCAAACTACTCTCTCGATTCGCTTCCAAGGTTCGTATTCTGTTATCTTAAATTCCTTTTCGCTTTTCTTTTTGCTGTTGATATACTATTTGCGGATGAAAGTTCTGATTTAGGGATGCTATTAACCGAAATCTGCTTGAAATTATTGTTTAATTTGCCGAGAATCCACGAGTCTGTAGGGAATCCTTTGATTTAATTATTTATGTTTTTGTTTGATTATTTGCCGCAATCCAAATTTGTTTGTATGAATTCCAAGAAATACTACGGATTATCGACCGATGTTGGATGGAATTCGGTCAATTTTGTCTAGATTTCCTAAGGTTTTGATTATTCTGTTGTGATTTGAGATTTTATTGTGATTTTTTGTGAATTAAATTGTGTTTTTTCTAATATATTATCGATGATGATGAAATCTAAGGCTTGTTTCTCAAGAACATTCGCAGTGGCCGCCTAAGAGCTTTCGCCTTTCGCCGGGCTTGAGAGCTAGTGCTGCTTTATCCTTCCTTGGATGTCTGAGATTTTGTTAAAATTTAAGGCTAATCTGTTCTGACTCTACTACCACCCGGATTTTGTGTTGATTTAGATGTAGAAATATATCGGATGGTATTTTTGGTTTTGGTTTGTGTTTTTTATTGCTTTTATTTCTATTTGTTTTCACTCAGTTGTTTAGCAGTGGATGAAATTGTTAGTATACTAGCATCAAAGTTGAACAAAACTCTTTAAAATCTTCAATCTGTCTTAAAAAATTTATATTAAGAAGCTAAAGCTGCTGTGATTCGAGAATCTTCAACTTCTGAAGCAATCCCTAGGATTTTCTGGATGTCATTTGAGATATTTATTATGAAGCAAATTGTGTTAATCATATATTGTATCTATGATGACAACATCTAAGGCTTGTTTCTCAACAACATTCGCAGTGGCGGCCTAAGAGCTTTCGCCTTTCGCCAGGCTTGAGAGCTAATGCTGCTTGACTGTTCCTTGGATGTCTGCGATTTTTTAAAATTTAATGCTAATCTGTTTTAAGTCTATTAGTACGATGATTTTTGTTGATTTGGATCTTAAAATATACGGTGTGGCATTTTGGGTTTTGATTTGTGTTCTGCAATTTACTATTGTTTTAGTCATTCTTTAGTTTTTGATGCTCGCGTACTGGTATTCATCAAATTTTGAAAGGAACTCTTTAGGATCTTCAACATCTGTATGAATTTTTTTTTTGATTAAATATTTGTGTGATTAAATCAGTTATATTTGGACATTCAGTTTTGCTTCAAGAATGAACACTGATCGATAGGGATGTTTTATGTGAACAGATGCAGATCTTTGTGAAAACCCTCACAGGCAAGACCATCACCCTCGAGGTTGAAAGCTCTGACACAATTGATAATGTCAAAGCCAAGATTCAAGACAAGGAAGGCATTCCCCCAGACCAGCAGAGGCTGATCTTTGCTGGCAAGCAGCTTGAAGATGGCCGCACACTCGCTGACTACAACATCCAGAAGGAGTCCACTCTCCACCTGGTGCTTCGTCTCCGTGGTGGCATGCAAATCTTTGTGAAGACACTTACCGGAAAGACCATCACCTTGGAAGTTGAAAGCTCGGATACCATTGATAATGTGAAGGCAAAGATCCAGGACAAGGAGGGTATTCCCCCAGACCAGCAGAGGCTCATCTTCGCTGGTAAGCAGCTGGAGGATGGTCGCACGCTTGCCGATTATAACATTCAAAAGGAATCGACTCTCCACTTGGTTCTCCGACTGCGTGGTGGTATGCAAATCTTCGTGAAGACCTTGACCGGGAAGACCATTACTCTGGAAGTTGAAAGTTCTGATACAATTGACAATGTGAAGACCAAAATCCAGGATAAGGAGGGCATTCCCCCAGACCAGCAGCGGTTGATCTTTGCAGGTAAGCAGCTCGAGGATGGAAGGACACTTGCTGATTACAACATTCAAAAGGAGTCCACCCTGCACCTGGTACTTCGTCTGCGTGGTGGGATGCAGATCTTTGTGAAGACATTGACTGGGAAGACGATAACGTTGGAGGTAGAGAGTTCTGATACCATTGATAATGTGAAGGCAAAGATCCAGGACAAGGAGGGCATTCCTCCGGACCAGCAGAGACTCATCTTTGCCGGTAAGCAGCTGGAGGACGGAAGGACTCTTGCGGATTACAACATCCAAAAGGAGTCTACCCTTCACCTTGTCCTTCGCCTCCGTGGGGGTTTCTGAATTCTGAATGATGCTTGTGAGCTCATCCTGCACTGAACAGGGAATAGTTTAATTTTGGTATTGGATTTTCGTACTCCACTTTGACCAATGGAAGGGTCACCCTAATACTATGTAGTTAATGAATAAAAGTAATTTTATACGCATCTGCTGGGTTTCCGTTTCCGTTTGCATTTGAAATTTCTATTTTACGCGTCCTTGTATTGCTCTTTGATCTTGTGTTTGGATGTTCGGGACTGAAGATGTCGATACCTCTTCACTTTTCCTGCGCGACTGCAGATGGATTCATTTGGGATCTGCACAAGTTGTTTGCTAATATTCTTTGATGTATCTGTTGTTCTACTTGGACCTTGGTGTTTGCCTGTACATTTCTTTAAAAATAACCTGGTTTTGTAGACGAAAACGGAAAGGCCTGTTTGGTATCCTTTCCGAAAGCGTTCGTTATTTTTCAAGGAACCTTTTTTTTCTTTTTAAATTTAAAAAATTGATGGGTATGAGATTTAAAATTTTTTAAATCTCAAAGCATTATTACTAGTAAAAACATATAAGTAATGTTATTCTTATCATGTTTTTATACCAACTTATGTAGTATCTGATGTGGACAGTCATATCATTTAAATTAATTAGAATTTAATTTAAATTAAAAACATTTAATAAACCAAGAATTAAAAAAAAAAAGCTAGAATTAAATGGTAATTGTGGCACACGAGGAATCTTCTCCTTCCTTCTCTGTTCAATCCTGCTTCTTCTCCCATTTCTTCTTCCACCCCAGTTCTTTCACGCCACTTTTTTTTCACTCCAATTTTTTTGCACGTAAGTGTGGACTACCACCCACGCCAGTCCTTTTGTACCCACTTCACACTACTCACACCAAGCGTCATTTTTTTTTTGAACCCATAGTACAAAACCCCATCTCTCATCATCGAGTAAAAAAGCTCCACCACCTCTTTCCACCTCTAGTCTCTAAGACACGCACCGATCATGGCCGACCAAGAGTACAAATTTCTGTCATGCATTGCATAGAACACCTTGCGCGCATCATCCAAAAACGCGTATTTCACATACGTGCTCACCAACTTCATCTCAACAAACGAGTTCAATTCCTCAACTACATCAATATGCTCATGGATCTTCCGACCTAGTTGAATAGAATTGGTGTCAATGCAAGATTGAAGTTCATGTAAGTAGTGGAAGTTACCTTCAACCCACTTTTGGCAATGGAGTCAAGAACGGTGACGGCCATGATTGAAGTTACCTTCAACCCACTACTGGGATCTTAAGATTTGGAGGGTTTTTTTTTGGAAAAGGAGATTGTGGATGTGAAAAGTACAAGAGAGGGTGGCAGTCCCACACTAATGTGAAAAAAAAACTAGGGTGAAAAAAAATGGCGTGAAAGAATTGGTGTGGAAGAAGAAACAGGAAAAGAATGGGGAAGGAATGAAAAGACTCCTTGTATACCACAATCACCATTTAATTCTAGTTTTTTTTTAATTATTGGTTTATTAAATGTTTTTTATTTAAATTAAATTCTTATTAATTTAAATGATGTGGTTGTCCATATCAAATGCCACATAAGGTGGTATAAAAATATGGTAAGAATAGCATTATTCAAAACATATATAAAATTAAAAAAAATTCATTTTTTTAAATAATCTATATGAGATTAAGAAAAATTAGCAAATAAAGGATTGCCATCAACGATGTGCATGCAGTTGCAGCAACGGTGGAAAGCCACAAGGATCTTCTCCCGTGATTAATAGTAATAATCATAATTGCAATATTGAAAGGAAAAACTTGGGCTACAATGAAGAGCACCGTTCTTGGCCATGTTGTCACCCAAAAAACATATATGAGATTAAGCAAAATTAGTATTAACCAAAAAAAAAAAAAAAAGGATTACGTACAAGACAAATATGTGAGAGAGACCAATTTTTCAGTTTTTATTTTTTAGATGGATGTATAGATAAATTTTTATATTAAATTAGTTTGTGAGAGTAGTTTAGGTAATAAAATTAGGTTTAAAGAGATATTGATAGTTTAATGTTAAAAGTAATATGAGTGTAGAAAATAAATTTAGTGTAGAAAAAAGATGTATGGGTTCAAATAAAATTTTTATTTCCTAATTAAATCGGTAATGGCTTTATACAAACACGACCGCCCCGGTCCTCAAACCCTCCATCGTTCATGATGCAGTGCCATCAATGTAGGTTGGTGGCTGGTTTAAATTCGATTTAATACTTCCTAGTAACTTGATTTCTTGAAAGTGATGTTTTAATTAGGAATTGTGCCGCCATTTAGTAATCGTCATTTACTCTGCTATGGTGGGCTAGGAACTTGCGTTTGTGGTTATTATGGTTGCTGGCCAGGCTCTTTAAGTACTCAGAACATCAGAGACGGCAAGGGGGATTTGAATTCCTTTTCGCTTCGCTTCCAAGGTTCGTGTTCTGTTATCTTGAATTCCTTTTCGCTTTTCTTTTTGCTGTTGATATACTATTTGCGGATGAAAGTTCTGATTTAGGGATGCTGTTAACCGAAATCTGCTTGAAATAATTGTTTAATTTGCCGAGAATCCATGTATCTGTACGGAATCCTTTGATTTAATTATTTATCTTTTTATTTGATTATTTGCCGCAATCCAAATTTGTTTTAAGGTTTTGATTATTATCTGTTGTGATTTGAGATTTTATTGTGATTTTTTTATGAATTAAATGGTGTTTTTGATTGCTTTTATTTCTCTGTGTTTTCACTTTTCACTCAGTTGTGTAGTAGTGGATTAAATTGTTAGTATACTAGTATCAAAGTTGAACAAAACTCCTTGGAATCTTCAATCTGTCTTAAATAATTTATATTAAGAAGCCAAAGCTGATGTGATTCGAGAATCTTCAACTTCTGAAGCATTCCCTAGGTATGTTTTCTGTGAACAGATGCAGATCTTTGTGAAAACCCTCACAGGCAAGACCATCACCCTCGAGGTTGAAAGCTCTAACACAATTGATAATGTCAAAGCCAAGACTCAAGACAAGGAAGGCATTCCCCCAGACCAGCAGAGGCTCATCTTTGATGGCAAGCAGCTTGAAGACGGCCGCACACTTGCTGACTACAACATTCAAAAGGAGTCCACCCTGCACCTGGTAATTCCTCTGCGTGGTGGGATGCAGATCTTTGCGAAGACATTGACTGGGAAGACGATAACGTTGGAGGTAGGGAGTTGTGATACCATTGATGATGTGAAAGCAAAGATCCAGGACAAGGAGGGCATTCCTCCGGACCAGCAGAGACTCATCTTTGCCGGTAAGCAGCTGGAGGACGGAAGGACTCTTGCGGATTACAACATCCAAAAGGAGTCTACCCTTCACCTTGTCCTTCGCCTCCGCGGTGGTTTCTGAATTCTGAATGATGCTTGTGATCTCATCCTGCACCGAACAGGGAAGAGTTTAATTTTGGTTTTGGATTTTCGTACTCCAACTTTGACCAATGGATGGATCACCCTAATACTATGTAGTTAATGAATAAAAGTAGTTTTATATGCATCTACTGGGTTTCCGTTTCCGTTTGCATTAGAAATTTCTATTTTACGTGCCTCTGTATTGCTCCTTGATCTTGTGTTTGGGTGTTTGGAACTGAAGATGTCGATACCTCTTTACTTTTCCTACGCAGGCCGGTCCTGAGAATTTGGGGGCCCTAGGCGAGCTTTCGAAGTGGGACTCTAAAATTCTCTGGTCTCCGGTTCTTTTGTATATTGATTTGTATAAAAAAGAATTCGCTAAATACATAAAAAGTTCTATTTTTCACATCAAATATCATTAAAAATTAATATCAATAGAAGATAAATATACAAACATTATCTAAACATTACACGATTCACGTTTTTAGACACAAATGTACTAAATGTTTGCAGTCAATTGTTTAAGATTGAGAGTGAAAAACAATAAAACTTGATTGACGAGTATAATAAATTCAATGCCAATTGTTTCTCTTGTGTTTTTTTTTTCTTCTAAAATCAACATCACATTAACGAATTGAATATTAAAATAATCCATTGAATAAAAAGTTATTGAAAAGAAAAATATATAATTCAAAGTTTTGATTACCTTAAGGTACAATATTAAGACCATATGATAGTTGGTTTAAACATACAATAGAAATGGAGAGAATGAGAAGTTGGTTTAAACATTCGATAGAAATGGAGAGAATGAGAAGTTGAAAGAAAAAAGATTGCAAAAGGCTTGAGTTTTATAACTTTATATGCATTTGGATAAATGGATTGACAGTAAATTTGAAAAACAAGAAAAATCTAGTGACTGAAAGGCAACTTCGTGCTTCGAACTCAACGTTTCCACTGCACTAGCAAATGAATTATGATATTTCTTACTTTTTTTTAATATTTATATGTTAATTAAATGATATAAAAATTTTTTTGAGGCCCTTCCGAAGGGGGGCCCTAGGCAGGCGCCAACTTGGACTACCCACAAGGCCGGCCCTGTTCCTACGTGACTGCAGATGGTTTCATTTGGGATCTGCACAAGTTGTTTGCTAATATTCTTTCAAGTATCTGTTGTTCTACTTGGACCTTGGTGTTTGCTTGAACATTTCATTTAAAAATAACGAAGTTTAGTAGACGAAAACGTTGTCTATTATTAAAAAAAAACTATCCGACTAAAAGTTAATGAAGGATTAAATTCTCAAAGATGGCTCTTTACGTAATGTCAAAAAGTAATTATGTCTATGCATCTTGGTACAAATTTAATCTCCACTGATCTCCTCCTCACCAACAGCTAATTACTAAAAAAAAAAAAAAAAAAAAAAATTCTCAAATGCAAAATTAGGAAAAAGTAAAAATATTTTTATTTTTATTGCTTTTTATGTAAATTTATTTTGTTTGTTAATTACTTTTGCCCAGTAAAGGGATACTATTTGACTAATCTTGGCGTGCAAGAAATATCCCAACACGTGGCGGTGTTCCATTGAATTAGTCCTCGTAGGATTCCCTAATGTGTAGAGACTTTTAAAAAGTATTTGTAATCCTCAATACATCTGAACTTTTATAAAACCTTTTAAATTTCTAACTGAATACCCTGAAATTATTAAATCCTTGAAACACGCTCAGAATCTCAGTCGGTAATCGCTCTATAAAAACACGACGGCCCCCGTCCTCAACCCCTCCATCGTTCAGAATTCAGAGAAAAATCAGACGCACGCCAATTCCTTCAACCTCTTCAAACTTCTCTCTCGGTTCGCTTCCAAGGTTTGTATTCTGTTATCTTGAATTCCTTCAACCCCTACATCTAAGAGCTTTCGCCTTTCGCCGGGCTTGAGAGCTAGTGCTGCTTTATCCTTCCTTGGATGTCTGAGATTTTGTTAAAATTCAAGGCTAATCTGTTCTGACTCTACTACCACCTGGATTTTGTGTTGATTTAGATGTAGAAATATATCGGATGGTATTTTTGGTTTTGGTTTGTGTTTTGGATTGCTTGTATGTCTATGTGTTTTCACTTTTCACTCAGTTGTTTAGTAGTGGATGAAATTGTTAGTATACTCGTATCAAAGTTGAACAAAACTCTTTAGAATCTTCAGTCTGTCTTAAATAATTTATATTAAGAAGCTAAAGCTGATGCGATTCGAGAATCTTCAACTTCTGAAGCATTCCCTAGGGATTTTTTATGTGAACAGATGCAGATCTTTGTGAAAACCCTCACAGGCAAGACCATCACCCTCGAGGTTGAAAGCTCTGACACAATTGAAAATGTCAAAGCCAAGATTCAAGACAAGGAAGGCATCCCCCCAGACCAGCAGAGGCTCATCTTTGCTGGCAAGCAGCTTGAAGACGGCCGCACACTCGCTGACTACAACATCCAGAAGGAGTCCACTCTCCACCTGGTGCTTCGTCTCCGTGGTGGCATGCAAATCTTTGTCAAGATGCTGACCGGAAAGACCATCACCTTGGAAGTTGAAAGCTCGGATACCATTGATAATTTGAAGGCAAAGATCCAGGACAAGGAGGGTATTTCCCCAGACCATCAGAGGCTCATCTTCGCTTGTAAGCAGCTTGAGCTTGGGGATGGTCTCACGCTTGCCGATTATAACATTCAAAAGGAATCGACTCTCCACTTGGTGCTCCGACTGCGTGGTGGTATGCAAATCTTCGTGAAGACCTTGACCGGGAAGACCATCACTCTGGAAGTTGAAAGTTGTGATACAATTGATAATGTGAAAGCCAAAATCCAGGATAAGGAGGGCATTCCCCCAGACCAGCAGCGGTTGATCTTTGCAGGCAAGCAGCTTGAAGACGGCCGCACACTCGCTGACTACAACATTCAAAAGGAGTCCACCCTCCACCTGGTACTTCGTCTGCGTGGTGGGATACATATCTTTGTGAACACATTGATGTTGAAGATCAACACCAGCCCATTTGGTGTTTGGATTCTAGAAGATTCTAGCAGCAAGTCTTCCATAAGGCTGCAATGGATCTAGATTTTTCTAGTTCAAATATGCATGGAAGGTGGTCGGTGAAGAAGCATTAAATATAGAATTATCTAAGCTAAGTAGTCCTATGTAGAAAGGACTAGAAGGTTGTTTCTTAAGTCGGTGGAAGGGTGTGTGCATGATCAGTGCACTAGCAAATTCTATGATAGTATAAGTCGGCAAACATGCCTTATAAATATGTATGCATGAGTGTTGTAACGCGACCAAGTAGCCTACAAGTGAGAGTGATCTTGTGAAGAGTGTGAGTGGTCTGAAGTGTCTCTAAAAAGAGAGTGTCATAGCTTCTAAGTTGTGTCTTTGAGAATTCTTGAGTTGTAATATTTTGTGAGTGTAATATAAGTGATTTGTTTACTTGTTTTGTCTCTCCAACGCTTGTGTGAGAGTTGTGTACTCAAATTTTTCCTCAACAATTGACTGGGAAGACGATAACGTTGGAGGTCGAGAGTAGTGATACCATTGATAATGCGAAAGCAAAGATCCAGGACAAGGAGGGCATTCCTCCGGACCAGCAGAGACTCATCTATGCCGGTAAGCAGCTGGAGGACGGAAGTACTCTTGCGGATTACAACATCCAAAAGGAGTCTACCCTTCACCTTGTCCTTCGCCTCAGTGGGGGTTTCTGAATTCGGAATGATGCTTGTGATCTCATCCTTCACTGAACAGGGAATAGTTTAATTTTGGTTTTGGATTTTCGTCCTCCAACTTCGACCAATGGATGGGTCACCCTAATATTATATAGTTAATGAATAGAAGTACTTTCATATGCATCTGCTGGGTTTCCTATTCCGTTTGCATTTGAAATTTCTATTTTACGTGCCTTTGTATTGCTCTTTGATCTTGTGTTTGGATGTTTGGGACTGAAGATGTCGATACCTCGTCACTTTTCCTGCGTGACTGCAGATGGATTCATTTGGGAGTGTCTGCTAATATTCTTTCAAGTATCTGTTGTTCTACTTGGACCTTGGTGTTTGCCTGTACATTTCATTGAAAATAACCTAGTTTAGTAGACGAAAACGAAAAGGCCTGTTTGGTATCCTATCCAAAAGCGTTCATCATTTATGTTAGTCTACTTAGCATTACTATTGAAAGAAATAGAAAGAAGAGAACAGCTCCACGAGCACAAGTCCAAGAAAAGCAAATTAATTTTGAGTTTTTCGGAGTAGGTATTCTTTGTCTCCAATTTAGGGCGATAATACGTTGTTCCAATGAACTCTAAAATGACCATCTTGCACTTCAATTGATTTTTTTTTTTTTCCTTTTAATTTTTGCACATAAAGAGTGCACGATGACCTTTTAGGACACCAATAGCAGCTCCCTTAACAAAAGAGAAACTCTAAAATTCGAAAGATGCTAGCTTTTTTTAAGCGTAAAATTCTTCCACCCCAAGAGATACAATTTTAATAATAAACGTGTACACTATCACATAACATTCCGTATTAACCAAATAAAAATATATATAACATTGCATCAATATATTTTATTATCATATAACACTGTCATGAGTTGTACCAGTGTCCTAGAAGCCATTCTCTTATCGACATTTGCTATGTGAAAGGAATGGTAAAGACTCATTATCGAGCACAAATGTCCTAAAGACAGAGATACAAGGGCAACATTCGTCGGACCCACTTTGAGAATTACAGCAGAGAAAAAAAAATAAAGGGAATTGTTATTAACACTTTAAAAATCTCATTTATCACTTCAAATTTTCTATAATTAGAAAGAAAAAACACTTGTAAGGAGTGTAAAATAAAATTTTTAGAGTGCTAATAACAATTTCCAAAACAAAACAATGAGATCGCAGATTATTTATTTTAATAATAATTGGGTTGCTTTTACAAAGGGTAATCTTACAATTAATAAAAGAATCTAAAGTCGAAAACAAATTGAATGGACTTCGTGAATGAGAGATCTTTTTCAATGTCAACGGAATACCGGGTAGTACATCATGTATTACTATATAAATAATGAGATATGTGTGTTAAAAAGTTAATAATTTGAAAATTACAATTTCTCACCATTCATATAAAAGCACGTGATGTACCACCTATGTTCCAGTTACAATAAAAAATTTCTCGTCTTTAACCTAATATTTGAGATTTGGATTTCATCTGGATTCTAGGATCCCTAGATTCTTATATCTTATCCATTCATCGTACATTGTGCGGTCATAAATCATTTTGAATATTTTTTATTTAAAATTAAACACAAACAACATCTAATGATTTTTTGCCGCACGATATATGATAAACGCATAAAATGTGAGGATCTCTATGATGGAGAGAATTCTTATCCTAATCTTTGGACTTAATTAATTTGAAAATTGTCGAATTTGGTATCTGATTGAAAAAGAAAACAAACCATATAGTTGTTGTTAACCGAATTGAAGTGTGTGACTTTTATACCCATTTGTAACAATGCAAAAGGCAAAAGAATGTTACAAAAAACGATCGAAATCCTCACTTATTGTTAATTGGTTTGTTACTAGATGTGATGCAGATACATAAGTTGGCCAATTAAACTTTTGCTCCTTGTAGTTTAGAGAATCTTTAACTTTGGTTCTTGTGGTTTCGACTTTAGAAAATTTAATCATGTAGTTTGACAAATCACGGTTATCCACTTTTTCCGAGGGTCGAGAAAACTCACAAAGGTATGCCAGTCTTCTCCTGGTGCACTTCAAAATTTCAAAGATGCTCATACACCACACACACACACATCTTGTCACATCAAATTTTCGTCGTCGATTCTAAAGGAGTTAACGGTTGGGACTGAAATTGTAAAGTAAGCAAACTACATAACCAAAATTTAAAAAATAAGTAGACTATAGGGCCATAGTTGGTCAAATTGAAAACTCCGGGGAACAAAAGTCTAAATGTCATTTTCAAATTCAGCAACTCTAAAGTGGAATATTTCTTATCATGTTGAATGAATGCATGAAGACAAATTAAGCCTTGGATTATGAACTAATTGGAATTATACCAACAAACATTCATTGCTTACCAACGTCCAGGATGGGACTGCCGGCTTGTTTAAAAAATAAAAAAAATATAACAGATAACAAGCTGCCGATATTCTGGCAAATTAAATTACTAAAATACACATTATATTACGCATTATAAATCTTTCTTCTTTATATCTGTGGTTAAATGGGTGATGAAGTTGTATAAAACTCGATGGCCTTGAAAGTTCTAACGTTTCAAATCCTACAACAAAAATGGGACTCAAAAACAGCATGTTTCGATACGCCGATGGCACCGATAAGTTGTTGATGTTCTTCGGGACGTTAGGCAGCATCGGTGACGGGTTGCAGAACCCTCTCATGATGTATGTTCTTAGTGAGGTTATTAATTCTTATGGAAAGAGTCAGGTGACAAATGCAGATGTGGACAAGGTAATTAAGCACGGTAAATTTTCTCTGCAACTCTTTCAGTACAAGGCATTTCACTGTGTTGAATATTTGCGGCACTTGCTACTTTCGATTTTTTGTTTTTTCTCCAGTTTGCACTCAGGTTATTCTATGTTGCAATTGGAGTTGGATTAGCAGCATTTGTTGGTACGTAAATTCGAACGTTAGTTAGTAATTACTTCTCTTCGGGTTATCTGCAACTTTTTCCAATAATCTGTCTTGAGTTTTCTTGCTTGAAGGAAAGAATGAAAGATTGAACCTAATCCTCTTGTGGTGATTACTATTTCTGCAGAAGGGTTATGTTGGACACGAACGGCGGAGAGGCAGACTTCTAAAATGAGAATGGAATATCTGAAATCTGTTCTTAGACAAGAAGTTTCCTTCTTTGACACTCAGACCGCTGGTTCTTCAACAGCATTCCAAGTTATCTCAATCATCTCCTCTGATGCCACCGCAGTCCAAGTTTCCCTGTGCGAGAAGGTAAGAGTTAATTTCATCATAAATCCAACTAAAAATTAAAAACTCTATGAAAACAACATTTTCCTGCACCGAATTGAAGAAAATGCGCATGAAGCTGGCGATAAATTAAATGTGTGATGTTTTCTTTGATGCAGATACCTGACTGCTTGACTTACATGTCAACTTTCTTCTTCTGCCATATTTTTGCCTTCAAGCTGCCTCTTTCAGTCATGTCCGTAGCTCCGGGACTTGTATTCGGAAAGATCCTGATGGGGATGGTAATGAAGGGGATTGAAGCTTATGGAGTTGCTGGGGAACTTGCTGAACAAGCAATTTCTTCAGCAAGAACCGTGTACTCATACGTTGGAGAGAACCAAACGCTAAATAGGTTCAGCACTGCACTTCAGACAGTTACTGAGCTTGGAATAAATGTAGGTTTGGTAAAGGGATTGCTGATGGGAAGCATGGGAATCATCTATATCGGTTGGGGTTTTCAGGCCTGGGTCGGGACTTATTTGGTTACTCAGAAAGGCGAAGATGGCGGTCTTGTTTTTGTAGCCGGTTTCAATGTCCTCATGGGAGGCCTGTGAGTTAATTTAACACTGCATTTCATTTCAATAGTTCACTTTTGATCTTGAACTTATAATCTAGCTTTGCTATGGCAGGAGTATTTTAAGTGCACTCCCAAACTTAACTGCCATCACGGTGGCATTAGCAGCTACAACTCAAATCCTTGAAATGATTGATCGAGTTCCTAGTATTGACACTGAAGATAAAAAAGGGAAGGCTTTGTCACATGTCAGATGAGAAATAGAATTCCAGGACATTTATTTCAGTTACCCGTCGAGACCTGATACCCCGGTCTTACAAGGCTTGATGAGTCTTAAGATTCCGGCTGGTAAAGAGTGCAGGTCTACTTGGGGGCAGTGGTTCTGGAAAGTCAACCACCATTGCATTGCTCGAAAGATTTTATGACCCCATTGAAGGAGAAATTCTTCTCGATGGACACAAAATTCGAAGACGTCAGTCTAGTTAATCAAGAACCTGTTCTATTTGCAACTTCCTTGAAAGAGAACATACTTTTCGGAAAGGAAGTGGCACCAATGGAAGAAGTACTAATCGCAGCTAAAGCTGCAAACGCACATGACTTCATTGTTAAGTTACCAGACGGATATGAAACTCAAGTATGCTATCTTCCATTCTTGGAATCTATTTTGGTTTCCATGCTTAGTTCTTAAACCTTGAATTATATTTCAAAAATGTTATGGTAATAAAAAATAAAAAAAATTAACTGTACAAATTGACCTGATATGAACTTCTTTGAAACTGATCTCGTCACATGATTACTGCTCATAACATCATTTTTATGGTTTCCCCAGGCTGGTCAATTTGGATTCCAACTGTCTGGGGGGCAAAAGCAGCGAATTGCCATTGCGCGTGCTCTGCTTAGGGATCCAAAAATCCTGCTTCTTGATGAGGCAACTAGTGCACTGGATGCGTAGTCCGAAAGAGTAGTGCAGGAGGCAATTGATCAGGCATCAAAAGGGAGGACAACAATCATCATTGCCCACCGCCTGTCTACAATCCAAACAGCAGACTTGCTTTTTGTTGTTCAAGCTGGGAAAGTAGTTGAGTCAGGCTCACACAATCAGCTAATGCAAAAGAAGGGAGAACAGGGAGGCGAATACTTCAAGATGGTACAAATGCAGCAGACAGTGGCCCAAAACGAGGCTTCTGATGATTTCAGTTCTCAAATATATGAAAAGCCTCGCAGTAGGAGGAGTGTTGCACCAAGCCCCATTAGTTTCAGATCGGTTACTCCTTCTCCAGCATTCAACCCCACAACAATGTCTATGTCCATGGGAACACCCTACTCATTCTCTGTCCAATATAATCCTGATGACAAAAGTGACGATGAAGACACCAAGCGCCCCAATTATCCTCCTCCATCCCAATGGCGCCTGCTGAAAATGAATGCACCAGAATGGGGACAAGCCTTACTCGGATGCTTGGGTGCAATCGGTTCCGGGGCATTGCAACCTATAAACGCCTACTGTGTTGGATCACTTATATCAGTCTACTTCCTCCAGGACAAATCTGAAATTAAGAGACAATCCAGAGTCTTGTCCCTCGTTTTCTTAGGAATCGGTGTTTTCAACTTCTTCACCAATCTCCTCCAACATTACAATTTTGCGGTCATGGGAGAAAAGTTGACGACAGGAGTAAGAGAGCAACTGCTTGAAAAGCTGCTGACTTTTGAGATCGGGTGGTTTGATCAAGATGAGAATACAAGTGCAGCTATTTGTGCAAGTTTCGCCACCGAAGTAAACACGGTTCGATCTCTTGTTGCCTTGTTGGGGACCGGATGTCATTGCTGGTCCAAGCAGTTTTCGGGGCTTGTTTTGCTTATACAGTAGGACTTTTGCTGACATGGAGGCTAGCCCTTGTTATGATAGCAGTGCAGCCACTAGTCATCGGGAGCTTTTACGCAAGAAGCATCTTAATGAAGAGTGGTGGTGAGAACGTACAAATAGCTGAAAAGCAAGGAAGCCAATTGGCGAGCGAAGCTGTCATTAACCACAGAACCATAACCGCCTTGTCTTCTCAGAAAAGAATTCTGGGGCTGTTTGGTGCAACCTTGTAAGGTCCGATGAAGGAGAGCATCAAACAGTCCTATGTTTTGGGTGCTGGCTTGTTTAGCTCCCAATTCTTCAACACTGCTGCTACAGCTTTAGCATACTGTATGGTGGGAGGCTACTGGTGGACGAGCTCATAACTCCAAAGGAACTTTTCCAGGCATTTTTGATACTGCTATTCACCGCTTATATCATTGCAGATCCCAGAAGCATGACTTCTAATCTATATAACGGAAACAGTGCCATTCAATCAGTTTTTGCAATGTTAGACAGGAAAAGAAAGATTGATCCGAATAACCAATGGGGTTTGGAAATCAAGAGGAGGATAAAGGGTCGGGTTGAGTTCAGAAATGTTTTCTTTTCGTATCCAACAAGACCTGACCAGATGATCCTTAAGGGATTGACCCTCAGAATTGACGCAGGCAAGACAGTGGCGTTAGTTGGAGGGAGCGGTTCTGGAAAATCCACTGAGAGGTTTTACGATCCAATGAAGGGAACGGTATGCAAAGATGAGCAGGATGTCAAGAACTATAAATTAAGGATATTGAGGTCACATATTGCATTGGTCAGTCAGGAGCCTACTCCTTTCGCTGGACCTGTCCGCGAAAATATTGCATACGGTAAACAGAATGCAAAAGAATCTGAGATAAAGAGGGCTGCAAGTCTGGCTGATGCTCATGACTTCATCAGGTATGAAATTACAGCTGACATTTACATACGAAAAAATATTGTGTCGTTTTGCAGTTTCATAATATGCTGACATTTCTCTCTTTTCCTATATTTTGCAGTGGAATGGACAATGGTTATGATACGTATTGTGGAGAGAGAGGAGTTCAGCTATCAGGAGGTCAGAAACAAGGGATTGCAATAGCTCGGGCAATACTCAAGGACCCGTCAATCCTTCTACTGGACGAAGCTACCAGTGCGCTTGACAGCGTGTCGGAAAAGGCAGTTCAAGAAGCGCTTGAAAAGATGATGGCTAACAGAACATGCATCGTCATTGCTCACCGATTATCTACAATACAGAAGGCCAACTCCATTGCCGTGATCCAGAACGGGAAGGTTGCGGAACAGGGTTCACATAACGAATTGATTTCGTTAGGGAGCAATGGAGCGTACTACAGTCTGATAAAACTACAAACTGGTAGCTCACCTCCTAGGTGAACCAGAGAAATGGTGACATAATATTTAAGGATGTTGCATTGTGATATTATGTAGATTTGCTTTGAATTAGTTACCTCATTTTTTGTTAAATATGAGAAGGAATTTGATTGTAGGTTGTAATTTTTAAGGTTTAACATGGCAGATGGAGATTAATATATATAGGCTTTGATATAAGAAATCCTATTGCAATTAGTATATGTGTTACGGGGAATTATACTAAATTTAAACCTGACCCATTAACTTGTCATGTTCAAATATGTAAATACAAACTCATTTGCAAGTTTAAAGCGTCGTGTCTCGTTTGACCATTTTCTTTCTTATTAACTAAACAAAATAATATCAAGTTTAGTATAAAATAAAATAAAAATCTTACAATACTAAAGACTTACAGTACTGGTGTAACACATTACATAACCAAATATCCGAACATATTCCACAAAAGAAATGCGTCCAAAAAATTGGAAGTATATACAACATAGAGATGGGGGAGAAGGGAGTCGTTCTATTGGGAAGCTAGCCCTTTCTAATCGCTCTGAGTAGGACGTAAGTAGCCTACTTTTATAGTTCAGCAAGCCTTATGGGTAGTTCGACGCTCCTAATCCTTCAACGTCCTCATTAATAAAAAAAACTTTTAAAAAAAAATGTGACTATCGTGCGGAACCGTGTCAACCCATCACAAAATTGACTCGTTTAACTCAACTATTTTCCAAGTGTATTTGTATCATATTAAATTATTAAACGTGACCATAACTAAATTCGCTCCAATTAAACAGCTTTTGATGGACTCTCTCTCAAAAGTCTTCCCTTTTCTCTCTCTAATTTTCTCTTTGTGAAAACCTCCTAGCAACTTCGCCGCCGGCCTTAGCCTTTGGCTTGGGTGCCGGAGGCATCCACCTTTCCTCCCTCCCTTCCTTCCTTTCTTCTTTTCCTTGCTCTTCTCCTTTTCCTTCTGAGTTTTCTCAAATTCTCCATCCCTTGCCCTTTCCCTATTTTCCTTCCCCCCTCTTCTCCTCTGCTTCTCCCCTATCCCTGCTTCCCTCCTCATCTTTCTTCATCTTTTCCAATTTTCTCCCTTCCTTTTTAATTATCGGTTCTCCCCTGGGTTTATTCTTTGTTTTCCTTGAGCTGAGTCTCAACTATCTAGGGCTTCTTGCCTCTTATCCAGCGTTTTTTCGCCTACTTTTACTGCTTTTCGGTCTTTTATTTCCCTTCCTCCCTCCTCTTAGTGTGATACTTCATCCCCATCCCACCATGTACTTGGATCGGCGAGCTCTAATAAGAAATTGGATATCAAGTCCACTTCCCTCCCTCACTTTCCCTCTCCCAACCGGCATGCTGGATCCCCATTGAGGCCGTGTTGGGTATCTTACATACCCCTTAGCCTCATCCTCTTCCCATATGTTACTTTCTTTGTATATATTTGTAGGGGTTCGTGAAGGGGACTTGGATCTAATGTTTACTTTCTCTGTTTGGAGTTTGGCTTCCTCTGAGGATATGATGGCGGGGGCGATGCGGTCTTTGCGATTGGAGATTAGGGTTTTTAATTGTATATTTCTGTTGCCTTCAGACCTAAACTTTGTGGGCCTCCTTTTGTATGTCGGGTTGCTAATCTCCCTAATCTTTTTTGGACCTTGTACTAGTTTTTATTGTAATGAAAGTTGTCTTGTGATAAAAAAACAAAAAAAAACAAAAAAAATTTAAAATTAAAAGTGTCATGATTTTGCCAGATCCACTAACAAGAACATAAATTCATGGTCTAATGCCAATCTAATCTTGACAGTACCATTTCAAGTATTCTAGGCTAATAAAGTGGTCCAATGGCTCCATGTCACAGGCTTTACAGCCTCAATTGAAATCTGATTCCGAAAGCATCAGAATTGGTCGCCAATTGAAATCCAACCACGTTTTTTTTTTGTGGGACTACCTACTTTTGCAAAACCGTACCAGGAGTTTTTCAAAAATGTATTTTTCTTGGTGGCATCATTATTTCCAACCCATTTAATTTTCCCACCCACACACACCACTCATGAACTCCATAATTTAAAATAAGGGGTATATAAAGAGAGACAAATTTGCTGGTGCGGTCGCAGATTTGGGTTAGGCCGATTAGTCAAGTCAGTGTGTTTGAAAACTAAACAACGTCACGGTGTGAAATTTTCGGTCCTTAGGCGAGCGGAATTGTGATTTGACTAATATTACATTGTCTACAGTCCATCTAAACAACTGCCAAATAACAAGAATGAATATCCAATAATTTAGGCAACCCAAATAAATAGACACCAAAAATTTGAAATTCCAGTTCAAGTAGAAAATATAAAAAGTTAGCACCAATTTCTTCCCAAGTTAAAGAATAGCACTAAAAGCAAATCAACATATGGAATTATAAAATAAGAAAATATAAAAAAAATCACAGAAAAATAAGGAAAATCAAAACCAAGAAATTGGACAAAACCCCCACCCGTCCGGAAAAGAATCCAATCTGGTGATGATCTGGTGCAGCAGAGAGCTTGATATCCTTCCTGTTGACTTTTCCACCAGAGTCATTGACCAGCACATCAGCCCCAACGTTCAGCCTATGCCTCTTGGTCCTCCAAAACATGATCTTGAACCTCACAGCAGTGGCCAAATCCACCCTAAAAATCACACTCCCATTGGCGTAGACCCCACTGGACACCGCCGTCCAGTTAAGCCACTCTTGGGGCCCCACGACCGCTTGCTTTGTCGCCGTCTTCTTGTGCCCCTGGTAGAACTGGGGCACAGCATAAGTTGCCACCGGTATGCCGGTGGCGTTGGGCTGCAGCCGGAAGGTGAGGTTGACGGCGTCGTAGTAAACGCCCTTGTCCTTGTTGGTGTTTCCGAGCCGGAGGGTGACGACGAGGGTGTTGTTTTTGGTGTCCTTTAGGGTCCGGTTGAGGGCAGGAAGGTAAAACGAGCGGATGGTGCACTTGGGGTTGGAGGTGCGGAGGCTCAGCCACACGAAGAGGGCTGTGAGGCCGAGGGTGAATATGAAGCTGAAGCAGCACCTGCAGCACCCGCCTGGTTGATCCGGCATGTTTGATTTCCAGAGAAATGTGAAGAGGGTTAGAGTGAGAAAATGTGTGCGCGAAGGAGATGATTGGAAAAGATATTATTGATGTTCTTATTTAATATTAATTGAAGTCTTGGCACTGTTTTGGTTTTTGGATGCTTTTACTTTTCTTTGAGTGGTCGGGTGTCTTCATATTACTCTCCACTATGTTGTAACTTATTAGAATTTACGGTATCCGATGTACATGCTCTTGTATCAATCTCACTCGTCTCTGCTTTTCTTTGAGTGGTTGGTGCCTTGAATACTCTACACTATGTTGTAAATTATTAGAATTTACGGTATCCAACATACATGCTCTTGTATCAATCTCACTCAAAGCTTTTCTTTGAGTGGTTGGTGCCTTCAGAATACTCTCCATTATGTTGTAACTTATTAGAATTTACAGCATCCGATGTACATGCTCTTGTATCAATCTCACTCATCTCTGCTTTTCTTTGAGTGGTTGGTGCCTTCAGAATACTCTCCACTATGTTGTAAGTTATTAGAATTTACGGTATCCGATGTACATGCTCTTGTATCAATCTCACTCGTCTCAGCTTTTCTTTGAATGGTTGGTGCCTTCAGAATACTCTCCACTATGTTGTAACTTATTAGAATTTACAGTATCCGATGTACATGCTCTTATATCAATCTCACTCGTTACAGAGACGAGTGAGATTGACACAATAGAGCATTAACTTGAATCTCGAGCATGATAAAATCTGTGGTATCCGATGTATGTGCTCTTAATCAATCTCACTCGTTACAGAGGCAAGTGAGATTGATACAACAAATCATTGACCTGAATTCTTGAGTGTGATAAAATATCCGAGTAAGATTGACACAAAAGAGCATTGACTTGAATTCTTAAAGTCGTTGAAGGTAAAAACTTGGCAATTTGCTTTCTCTATTGGACGTTTTATTCAAATCTCCCATTATTTAAAGGAAATAGCTACTTCCACCAAAATTCTTGGAACCTTCCTTTAATCTTTTTTTTTTTTTCCCTTTCTTCCGAAGTCCTTTAATCCTGTTTTTAATTCACTCCAAAACATCCAAGTACTTTTTGATATTTTATTTGAACCTAAAAACAATTCTCTAAATTTCCTATAAACTAAAAAATAAATAAATAAAAGAATGTAATAATTTCTTATAAAGAATATGAAGGTAGTCGCGTGATGAACATTTTTTTATAAAGGATCAAACCTTTGATGCCACGCTTGCTTCAGCCTCTATTGACCTTTTTCCTCCTCAAACTTGTTTATAGCCACTTGTAGTTCATCTGTGCCTCCAACAGCTCTCATGGTGTCGAAATATACTCCGAAAACAAAAGCTGACAAGCCCCCCGCAACAATAGCAGTCTTTGTTTTAGGTGCAAGGCTCCTAAATCCTGAAATCCCAGCCATTTACAGCTAAATTCTGCATCAACTTCTGCTTTATGCTTCCATCTGCAAATCCGAAAAGAGAAAGAGAAGACTAAACTAAATTTGTCTGCCCTCTGAAAGAAAGATGCTGTTCAGGCTAAAGAAAACACCGTAGCACAGTACCCTGTTCTTTTTCTGTTAAGTATGGAAGAATGATTCCGCTGAGCAATTGAAAGGGCAGAGAAAATATAGACACATCAAATATCAAACGGTTGGGAACATTACATACAGCAGCCCAAATTACTCCCTTATACCCCATTGCTAATAAGAAACCCAAAACAAGAAATTAAGATTAAAGGAGCGCATATAATGATCAATATCAAGCACACTGAAAATACATTTTCGAATGACTAATGCAAGGAAAATGTAATGAAGGATCTAATGGATATGCACTTTCAAGGCCTATGTTTGAGCGTCAAAGTGATTTTATGAAACATAATGCTCAATGATCCAAAAGACTGGATAGAATCTTTATTCCAAGTGAACAAAAGACAGGATAGAATAGCTAAAAAACTTTTGAACTATCCTTTAGCTCATAAAGTTAAACAACTTTCAACCAGTTTTCCAACGCTTCAGGAAACTGGTTGAGGAAGGGCTGGACCTCTCTTGGTTGACCAAAGGCCCTACCTCTCTTCCCGAGCTCATGGACTGTTCATAGAGGGTAATAGGCAACCGCGAAGTCACTAAATGAATTGCCAAAAGAATGTCTCACTTTCCATACCACTGGAAAAAGATGGAGCATGGGGAACAAGTATTTGACTGCCCCAAAGGCTGCTATGGCCTTCTTGCCATGGTTACTTAGCGCTTGCGCTAATGAACAAAGAATAGATAGGGTTGACGACAGAATGATCAACTCCTACCCTACTAATGTAGTGTATAGAAGGTGAACGAGTTAGCATCTTACTTGAATGAAGAAAGACGGAGCTCTTTAGCAAAGACGTGTCGAAAACCCCCTGGGATTATCAAACGTTAATCCATCACTCTTGGAGGGCGGTGCAGTGCAAAAGCTCTAATGAGGGGAAATCTCCTATTTATATCTATTGATGAGACAAAATGAATGCACGTAGGTAAACAGCAGGGAGTTGTCAAACAGAAGTCATGTTGCTTCCTCATCCACTAATAATAACATTCTTTTGAAGCTTTAGACCACATAACAAAGCATGGAATCTGGCTTTCATGAAGTGGTAGTAGGTATCAGCCAAAAATCATGCCAAAATTTAAAAACACACAAAATATTATATGCAAGTTCATTCATAGCCTTGTTAATATAAGCCAGACTTTCTGTACCCAAGTCCTTTATTGTGTTTACGGTGTTTACATAACATAAGAACAAAATGCAATATCCTTATAGCATAAGCTTAACCAGAAGTGGAACTTTACATCGATATTTCACATCAATATTTCTACTTATATCCCTTTTCTTTCAGTTTCTACAAGCTTAAAGGATAGTAGTTTGTTAAAAAAAAGAAATAAATAAATAAATAAATACCAAGAACACCTAAATTTTCCAATTCCACCTACCTTCTTGCGACATTCTTAGCTCATGCTTCTGCCGAAACAATAAAGGGATTCTCATTCAAAAAACAAGAAGGAAAAAAAACACTATATTATCAAATTCCAAAACCTAGTTGCGATTTGCCTAACTCGTGCTTTTGTGGAAACAGTAAAGGAAATCTTATATTTATATAACAAGAAACGAACATCTAGCTTTTATCTGCAAGAAAAATTATAAGCATAAACCCTGTATGGTTTGCTAAGTCCATAAATCCAGTTTGATCCAACTTGAACAGATAGAAGAAGCACTTCAAACCCAACTTCCAAAAACTCCCAAGAATCGAAGACTTAATGACAACAACAAGAATTCAACTTGCCCATGATTACATTTACCTTCAGTAAAAAGCAATCAAATTTTGCAAATGAGGATTGAAACCTTCACTTTTAATGCCAACGTTTCAAATTTTCAGACAAACAGGCAAAGATTTCTAACAATATTGATCACCATTTTCAAAATTGATTCAAACCCAAAATTTGAAATCAACACAACTAGAGAGAGAGAGAGAGAGAGAGAGAGTACCTGAAAGTAAAATCGACCTAGATGGGGAGAGAGGAAATGAGAGTGTCTTTCTGCTGTGTTCTTGTTTTAGGTTCTTTGGTTTTGTATAGTGTGGTTTTCCATTTCGAATTTGGGCTTTTCATCTTCGGTTTCCATTTGGGCCCGTTTTAGTTCCTTACGTTTGGGCCCTGTCAAGAAAATAAATCCCTAAACAAAAATTAGAAAAAGATAAAAAGAACTATCATGTAGTAGACTAGTAGTACGATTTTACACAAAGTTTTCCCTTTTTCCGCGGTTAAAACCAAAAGTATCACGATAAAGCAGGCTTTTTCTTTTCACGGTTAAATATAGAACGATTACTGTCAAAGCCTCCATGACCAATGTTTCTTAGCGATTAAAACTAAAAGGATCACGACAGAACCATCATTGCAATTTTTTTTTTTTTTTTTTTTATCAGCACTTGGGTTTTAGAGATGTTGGAAGATTTCTATTTTGGACCTGAGGCATCCACAACAAGACGTCAAACTGGACTCGATGATTAGGAGTTGTTACTTTTCTATATTGTGGTTTTGCCTTGATTAGTTAATGGAGATCAGAATCTTTGTCAGTTACTTAATTCTCAAGCTAATCAGTGTTTGGACTTAACTGTTTGGTTTCTATAATTATTTAGTCTGATAAATTAAATAAAAAGGTGGACTTTACTGTGTGCGCGAGTGCGTTATGTTTTTATACAACAATGTATTTACACTAAGTAGTGGGAGAATAAATGGGTTGCAAATTTATCATTCACGAGATTCAAATTTAAGGTCTTTCACTTACAAATGAACAAGAATACCATTAGACCACTATAGTCAGTGGCGCGTGCATGTGTTTATAAGAAATGTAAAAAGATAACAATAGCTATTTTTCTGAACATATTGGATTTGAGGTAGGAACGTCCATGTTCAATACCTCCAAGGAGTTTCTATAAGGATGAAAAGATGTGTCCAACTAAAGTTGTGCATCTTAAGGGAAACGTGAAACTCCTACCTAGATTTTGCTCTTCACATGAGATCTACAAAAACATATAAGAGGAATTTTGCAAATGACTGCATGGAATGCATCATTTACCAATCTCATATACATGAGTTGTAATGTTCATGAAGTGCATTTCTAATCACTTTAGTTGACTATTTCTTCCTTATCCAAAATTTCTTGGGAGTTGGTACTTGGAAGCCCCTCAAAAGTATGGTAAATGTGATCACATAATTTCGTAACTCTAAATAACATCCGAAAAGTATGTTGTTATATTATGTAACTTGCCTCAACTGGTATGAAATTTTATATTTTGAAATTATGATCATATGATGCTTACCTCTAAACAAATGCACTACTACCAACTATAAATCAAAGACAGACGTTGATTCTGTAACAAAAAAATAAATGCTCAAATGGTTTCCCACCCAAATTTCACAATTTATTAGGAACTGTAAATTTGCGAAAATAGTAAAAAATGACATCTTCAACAAGCCTGATGCAAAAAATAATGGTTCAGTTTTTCTATCTTCCATCAGTACACCACCATCCAATATATTACAGTTACTTTCAGTAAAAAACAATCATCTAATTAATTTTGGAAATCAGGATTGGAACCTTCACTTTGGATGCCAAAGTTCCAAATTTTCCAACAGAGGAAAGATTTCTAAGAATACTTCAAAACCCTAAACCCTAAACCTGTTGAAAACAACAGTAGACATCCCAGTAAGAGAGACAGCATACTAGAAAGTAAAATCGACAGTGATTGAGAGAGAGAGAGGTAGTGAGAATGTCTTTCTACTGTTCTTGTTTAGGTCGTTTGTTTTTGTATTGTGTGATTGTTTGGCGTGAAAGAAATCCAATAAAAAAGAAAGAGGCGATAAAATATTTGGAGAGTTTTTTTTTGGCATCCAAGTCAAAGAATGTCCTAATACGGACTAAATAATCTCAGCAAAAATCTGCACTATCGGCTAGCTATTTAATTATTTGATTTGCCCGCAAGGTAAATCGTCTTGCCTTGCAAGTAAAGCTAAGTCCACGAAATTCGAATAATTAAAGAGTCACGACTAATGTGCCAGATGCTGTCAAGCCCCATGAATTTCTAGGGGATGGTACCCCGCCAAAATTGAACCAAATTCACTTTGAACCGGTGCTCTCTTTTGCTCCTCCATGCCAAGAAAGAAAACGTCAGCTTTCTTCGTTTCCGCAAGCTGGATTCTACAAGAGAGATAGGGTTTGAATATCCTATGCCCTATCATGTAATATAGCAAATCAATTAGCTAGTCTTTAGGAGTTGATTGTATGGTCTTACAACTATTTATACTTGTAGTTTGTAGAAATTAAGAAAATCATCGGTTAATGAGAGGAAATATTCACTCAAAGCTTTCCAAAATTTACATGGCATCAGAGCCCCTCCTGGGTTCTTAGTTTTTTTTCCTTCTCTTTTTTTTTTTAAGGCTATGGGAAGGATTCTACGTCTGAATAAATTTCCAGCGTTGAACAAAAATCAACGATGTTCAAGCCTCTAATAGTGATCCCGCCAGCCCCTTCTACATTCATCATTCCGATCACTTGGTGCCGCTCTATGTCTATTGCACTAAGTGTGAAGAACAAATTCGGGTTTGTTGATGGAAGTGTTGAACAACCATCCGCAGAGAAGAAGCCCAAAGAATCTGCTATTTGGTAACGGTGCAACGACATGATCCTTATGTGGATTCACAATGCGCTTTGCGGAGACCTCGCCACCAGTGTGGTGTACATGAAGACAGCCAAGGCGGTTTGGGATGATCTCCGAGAACGTTTTTCTCAAAACAAAACGTGTCTTGTCTCTTCGAAATTCAGCGTGACCTTGCACGCCTTTTACAAAACCAACAGCCCATCAACGTGTATTTTACCAAGCTTAAGAGTTTGTGGGATGAGATGGATTCCTACCAAACGTTTGAGCATTGTTCTTGTGGCGCCGCCAAGTCCAACCATGAGCGGGCTGAGAGAACCAAGGTGTTGCAGATTTTGATGGGATTACACGATTCATATTCAGCATTTCGTGGCCAAATATTGTTGATCCAACCTCTCTCTTCCATAAGGTTTGTTTATTCCACGCAGGGGGAGAAACAACGGGGTATGGCTGCTGGGCAGGGCCGGTCCTAAAATTTTGAAGGCCATGTGCGAGACTCAAACGGGGGCCTTACATGGTTTAAAATTTTGATTGCTAAATTTTCTTTTATATTTTATATTATGTATAAATTGATATAAGGCAAAAAGGCCAAAAAAAATAAAAAAATCATGAAGCATAGTGTGGTGGTACGCACCTATTTGCAATCCTATATCTTTTTTGTTCAAAACTCCTTACTTTTTAAATACAAAAAGTATGGAGTGATGGCCATATAGTTATCATATCACCGTACAAATACCATAATGATAACCATTAATGCTCTTTATTATCATCTAGAGTTCATCTCATGAAAAATTTGTGTTAAATGAATTACTGGTTATATTGATAGCATCTTATAATGAAGTGTTATTTTTTAGGGATGTGATATCCACACACCCTCCTCATTTTCGGCCGTCGAATCGGATAAATTGAAAAAGATCAACGGACATAAATTAACAAGAGGTGTGTGAGGAGTAATTTGGGGTGTGTGGATAGCAAATCCCATTTTTTATTGCATTTTTGCTCACGCCCCAAAGCAAGGATTATTCTCACCACCCCCCTCGGTTGACTGCTGTTAGATTAGTTGAAAATTCGAGATTCGTGTCTTCAACAATTAAACCAAATAATCTAATGGGAATCAGGATCCTCTTTGTGAGGATCCTGGGGATCCGTGAATCAT